TCCAAGGCGGTCCACCTGGTGGCTCTTTCCGGCCTGCCCACCGCTAAGCAGACGGCCGAAGTCCTTCTGGAGCAGGTGGTCCGTCTCCATGGGTTCCCTCAGGACATTGTCTCGGATAGAGGGCCCCAATTCATGTCCAGGTTCTGGAAAGCCTTCTGCCGGCTGGTTGGTGCCAGTAGCAGCCTCTCGTCTGGCTACCATCCCCAGACCAATGGACAGACTGAACGCGCCAACCAGCAGCTCGGGCGGTACCTGCGCTGCTTTGCCTCTTCCCAACCAACCACATGGCCAAAGCATCTCTTGTGGGCGGAGATGTCCATAACCTCCACGTCTCCTCGGCTACTGGTCTTTCCCCGTTCGAGCTGTGTAATGGTTACCAGCCCCCTCTGTTCCCTCACCAGGAACCGGAGACGGAGGTTCCTGCGGCCCAGCTCCTAGTTCGACGTTGCCGTCTCGCTTGGATCCGTGCTCGGGCTGCCATCACACGAGCTAACACGGAGTACTCACGCCAGCATAAGCGCCGCCACCGGCCTGGTCCGACCTTTCAGCCGGGCGATAATGTGTGGGTGTCTACTCGTAACATGCGTGTGCCCGCCGGCTCCAAGAAACTCAGCCCACGGTTTCTGGGTCCTTACCCCGTGGAAAGGGTCATTAACCCCGTGGCTTACCGCATCCGCCTGCCCCGGTCTCTCAAGGTTCACCCAGTCTTCCACGTTTCCCAGCTGAGACCGGTCAGGACCTCTCCTCTCGCTCCCCCCCCCTGTGCCCGCTTCACCGCCTCGTGGGGTGTGCGGTGATGGTGTTTATGCTGTGCGCCGCCTGCTGGATGCCCGTCGCCGTGGCAGGGGATGGCAATACCTGGTGGACTGGGCGGATTACGGACCGGAGGAGCGTTCATGGGAACCGTCGAGGGTCATCTTGGACCCCTCTCTCATAACGGACTTCTGGGCTCGCCGCTCTGGGACTTCTGGGGCCGTCTCTCGGGTGGGGGGTCCTGTCACACAACCTCCCGCTCAGCCGTCAACCTCCTCTAGGGAGGCACCGCAGAGCCGCTCAGACTCCATTACCCAACATCCCTAGCGCCAGGTTTACCGTTTCACGTCACCCGCCAAACCTATATAAGGAAGTGCCGCACAACGCCGGCTCACTCAGTCATCGTTCTCACCGAACTTAACCTAGAGTCCTAACCAGATCAGCTCAGATCACGAAGCCTGTTCAGATCAGACCAGCCAGATCTCCGAATCCTGCCTGTTCGTACAGATCAGCTTCAGACCAGGAGTCGCCGTGTTCAGCTGTGTCACAATACAGCTGCGTACCCGGCTCCCAGATTAAACAGCGTGTCCATTCAACCCGGCGTCAGTCACTCTGCTCTTGGGTTAAAAGCCACGCCACATCCAAACTCTTGCCCAGCTCGAGTCACCCCGTTACACAAAAGGCAGTAATCTCAACCAGTCGAGGAGGCAAACCAGGACGGCAACACTTGATTAAAGACCTCAGTGGTGGTTGGTACTTTGAAAAAAGATTACTCACAAACATTTGTAACTCTAATGTAATGTTAACTGTGTTAACTGAGAATGATCATTAGATGATCTTTGGTGTTGGCGCCCACTCGGTCTTGGGAGAGTAAAATTTAGTTGTGAAGATCGCTTTTTGAATTTAATCGTTGTGTTCTCTAGTTTGTCCCTTCTAGGAGGAATTTTGAGTTAAATTAGTAGATAATTTTTATTTAGATTTTATTTTACATAAAAAGGATAATTACTTCTTTAATTGTAGCCCGTTTTGAGCAGGTAAAATCCCTGCATTTCAGTTAATTTAAATTGGTTAAATAATTTACTCTTTTCGTTAGAATATAGGCGTTTTCATTTTGGTAACATCGTCCGTGTTTTTCCATTTCATGCCCTTTAATTTCAAACAAAAAATTTATAGATTTTCCTCCTGTCAATTTTTATGTTACCTTCTCCTCTCCACACACCATCCACCAGTGCTGGGGTTGTAATGCTTAAGAACGTTTTACCCTGCTTTCTCAGCAACGTTCCGCCCACTGAATCGCCCTCGACAGTGGATCACAGTACGGTCACGCTCAGTAACTGTAGATCTCCTGTCACGGATTTTATCAATATGTTTATCATTAACCCATTTCCTATAGCCGGAGAGAAAAAGGAGACAATGAACAACAAGTCGGGCTGCACAGTGGCGCAGTGGTTAGAGCTGTTGCCTTGCAGCAAGAAGGTCCTGGGTTCGCTTCCCGGCCTGGGATCTTTCTGCATGGAGTTTGCATGTTCTCCCTGTGCATGCGTGGGTTCTCTCCGGGTACTCCGGCTTCCTCCCACAGTCCAAAAAAAAAACATGACTGTCACCCCTGCTTTCCACGGGAGCCGTCAGCAGCACGTTACTGCAGCAGCACGTCATAGCTGCTGATAGGAACCGCTGTGGTCAACAGAACCTTTTCCACTGGAGCCGTCAGCAGCGCGAGTCGGCCGCGTCTCAGGAGCAGAATGTCGCGGCCTTTACGCGCCGGTTCTATTTTCTACGCGCGACGCCTCTGAAACGGGTCAAGTTCGACATTTTTGGGGAAGGAAAGACAGGAAATCGGACGTGGAAATGGAGAGAAGCTCCCGAGATTTTCAGAATAAAGAACGTACTGCCTTCCGGTTGCTTTACTTAAAAAAAAGCAAATGGATGGATGGATGGATGAACAAGAAGTCAAACAGTTATAACTGTGGCAAGATGCCCGAGGCAAAATGCACACAGAGTTTATTTATAGAGAGGGAGAGTGAGAGAGAGAGACTGTGTGTGTGTGTGTGTGGGGGGGGGGGGGGGGGGGGGGGGGGGGTCAAGAATGTGTGTGTGTGTGTGTGTGTGTGTGTGTGTGTGTGTGTGTGTGTGTGTGTGTGGCATGTGTGGGTGTGTCTGAATGAGTGAGCATGATCAAAGAGGCATAGAGCAATACATTTACATTCAGTTGATTGAGTCAATGATCAAGAATTAATAAACATAAATTTTCCATAACATTCCCTGCTGTTTATCTGAATAGGATAACCAAACAAAGGGAAGCAACAATAACACGCTACGATCAGATATGAAAGGCTCAGAATTAACACGATGAAGTGGGAACACAGCATGAAGTGCTGCAATCATTTGTCCATTGCAGATCATAATCTCATTTCTGTTAACTTGTCCAAAGAATCATTCCATACAAGGTGTAATACAAAAATCTGCAAAATAATAAGGACAAATAAGGTAACAAACACGATAAGGCAACACAATGAGCTAAATCAACACATTTATAAACATAAGAAAAACTATTTCATACATATTGAAATGAATTTACTGAGATGCACAAATCTATGACTTATGGCCGTTCCTGCAAGGCGAATGGGAAGGGTTCGCAAAACCATATAATACACTGAAAACATCAGTAGAGTATATCAAAATGTCAGGTGAATTTAGTTTAAAGCTCCAAGTTGAAGACGAATCTTCCTGTGAATGAGGAAAAATGAAAGTGTAATATTAATTTACGCAGCTCTAACCATGGCGTAGCTGAGGCAAACCAGGCGTTCTTCATCAAAGGGCTTGTCCGTGGACTGAGAGTCCCGGTTGGAGAATAGGTTTGAAAGTCAGGGTCCTCTTCCGTTGATCAGGATGGTTTCAGTCTTACGTTGATGAGTACCTTGAAGTCCAGGTCCAGAGCGTAATAACATAGTTCGGAACATGAAGCGCAAAGTTCAACTTCTCAATAGGAAGACTTCAGGGTACTTCCGTGGCGTGTCGAGGCGGTTGTCCAATTGTCAGGGAGCTGATCTTGTCCCCGAAAAGGTCCTACAGGTCCTAGACCGTGAAACCAGTCTGAAGATTTGGGTGCGGGTGCTTGAAGTGACTATCCTTTCCCAGCGTCTCTTCTTCGCTGTGTCCTGTTGTAGTTGCGTCCAGGGGGTCTTCAGCCGAGGTGGATGCATGTTACGTTGTCATGTAGGTGCGCGGTCAGGGAGGAGCCCCAATCCATCATCTCAGTTCCAATTCTAGTATCCCCTCAAATGCTGCTGTCTCAGTTGTTCCATCAGGTGCTGAGAGGCGGCCCAAGTGCAGGGCCATGAGTACGACCACCAACATCAACAATGTGGTGAACCCAGCAAGCTCGAAGCAGATCTTATCTTATCTTTATCTTGATCTTATCTTCACCAGTTTGAGAGACGGCACCCTAGTGGTGGCCCACCCCTTTGTAGCCAGACTTCATTGCCGCGCTAGAGCGGTTAGTTGACGTTGATGAGTTTGCAGTGGGATAGATGAATCCAAGATTGTCATGGTCTGAGGTATTTGCTTAACCCAAGACATGCAGAATCAGAGACCGGAGACAGGTTTGATAGTAAAAGGTAAAATGATATTTATTTAATAGGAAAACTAAGGGCGCACTGAAGTCCAGTGGATATCCAAATCAGGAAGCGGCGTCTACAGGAAAACAGAGGTGAGTATGGGTCTTGTAGTTCCGGGAGATTTTATTTGTAGGCAGACTTACTATGCGGAAGAAGAGTTGTTGTTTGGAGGGGGAGTGAGCCGGGGTGATATCCAAGATGGGGAAGCGGTCCAAGATGAAGGTGAGTCAGAGAGTGAGCGAGGATATTGATCCGGAGAGGGAGCGTGAGCGAGGTGGAGAGCGGGTCGGCAGGCGGAGGAGACAAACAGGATCAAACCAGAGATTTCCTTCCAGGAGCAGAGCGAGTTATCCAAGAATCCAGGAACCTGGGGTGAGTATCAAAACATCACATGAGCGAATAATCCAAAGAGTCAAAAAGTCAAAACTGTAAGAGAAACAGAGTAAAAACTCGGGAGGGCAAGCGACTACCAGTTAACGGCAATCATTCTGCGTTGTAGTCTGGTCTTCCTCCTCCTTATAAAGCCGGCCCGCTGATGAGAAACAGCTGTTGCTCCCTCTCCTGCAATCAAAGCTCAAAGGTGGTGAATGATGAGACGAGTACTCACCCCGGCTCATGACAGTACCCCCCCCCCCCCTCTCAACGGACGCCCCCTGGCGTCCTAGCGGAGGCAGCCTCAAATTCCCTGATCAGGGCAGGATCCTCGATGTAGGACCCCGGGATCCACGAGCGCTCCTCAGGTCCATACCCCTCCCAGTCCACGAGGTACTGGATACCACGACCCTGACGACAGGAGTCCAGTATCTTCTTTACCGTGTAAACAAGGCCCCCTTTGTAGAGACGAGCAGGAGGAGGAGGTGGAGGAGTGGGACAGAGAGCGCTAGAGACCACAGGCTTAACCAAAGAAACATGAAAAATGGGGTGCACACGGAGGGAGGAAGGAAGGTCTAAGGTCCAGACGGACCGTGGTAGGAAAGGGTACGGCGGTGATCTAAAGAGGCCCAATAAATCGAGGGGACAACTTGCGGGAGGACGCCTTAAGAGGAATGTCTTTGGAAGATAACCAAACTGACTGACCTGGGTTGTAGACGGGAGCAGGGCGGCGATGGAGATCAGCAAGCTATTTATTGCACTGTGCAGTGCGGTCCAGGGTGGCCTTGGTGGAAGCCCAAGCCTGTTTAGCACCTCGAAGGAACTGAGGAATGGACGATGACACTGGGGACTGTTGAGGAAAAAGAGATGGCTGGTAGCCTAGGGAGGCTTCAAAAGGAGACTGACCGGTAGCAGATGAGATGTGGCTGTTCTCCACCCAGGGTAGGTGGGAGCTACAGGTGGCAGGGTGAGACGAACAGACACAACTTAGCATGGAATCCAGCTCCTGGTTCATACGCTCACACTGCCAATTTGTTTGCGGGTGATATCCGGATGTGAGAGCGACCTGGGCTCCAAGGGACTCAGCGAACTCCTTCCAAAGGTGGGAAATGAACTGTGGACCTCTATCAGAAAGGATTTCTTCGGGGATGCCATGAAGATGGAAAACATGCTTTATAAGGAGTTGTGCTGTGACTGTGGAAGAAGGCTTAGATTTTAGAGGAACCAAATGACAGGCCTTGGAAAAACGGTCTACTATGGTGAGAATAGTGTTAAAACCATGAGAGTTAGGAAGTCCACAAACAAAATCCAACGCTATGTGGGACCAGTGGCGAGAAGGGACTGGCAGTGGTTGCAATAACCCGGCTGGTGGGCGATGATCTCCCTTATGTTGGGAACACACGTGGCAACCCGAGACATAATCCTTAGTGTCTTTATACAGGGAAGGCCACCAAAATGTTCGTTGAAGCAGAGCTATAGTCCTTCCCACCCCCGGGTGTAGAGAGAATCTGCCTGTGTGTGCCCAGTGAATGACTTTACCTCTAAGATGTTGAGGAACAGTCAGTTTCGAGGTCCGTTACTGGGCCCAGGATCTGTTTTAAGAGCCTCCAAAACTTAGTCTCGGATTTCCCAGGTGATAGCACTGATGATAAAGCTGGGAAGAAGGATGGAGGCAGGTTCTGAGTCCGTGTCGGGAGCGTACTGTCTGGACAGAGCATCAGGTTTAACATTCTTAGGACCTGGATGGTACGAGATTTGGAAGTTGAATCTGGAGAAGAGGAGTGACCATCGATATTGTCGCGGGTTGAGTTGCTTTGCTTCTTTCAGATAGACTAGGTTTTTGTGATCTGTCCATATAATAAAAGGTGTCTCCGCTCCCTCCAACCAATGCCTCCACTCTTCAATAGCAAGTTTAAATGCCAGGAGCTCACGATCTCCCACATCATACCTGCTTTCTGCTGGTGTCAGGCGACGAGAATAAAATGCGCAGGGATGGAGTCTGTTATCTTCTTTTGCCACTTGATAGTACTGCCCCAACACCAGTATCTGACACATCTACTTCCAGAACGAATTGTCGTTCTGGGTCTGGACGATGGAGTACTGGTGCATTAGTGAACTTGCTCTTTAATAACCCGAAAGACCTTTCTGCTTCTGTGGACCAAACAAAGGGTTTGTTAATGGATGTCAGCCTGGTTAGGGGAGCAGCTGTTTGGCTGTAGTTTCGTATGAATCGGCGGTAAAAGTTGGCAAAACTGAGGACCGTTGGAGCCTTTTTCTGGTCGAAGGAGTGGGCCAATCTGTGACTGCTTTGACCTTTTCAGGATCCGCTCTCAGCCGCCCGCTCTCAATGACAAAGCCCAGGAACTTCACTGTTGATACATGGAACTCACACTTTTCTGCTTTGACATAAAGACGGTTTTCAAGCAGGCGTTGTAAAATGGCTCTTACATGTTAGATATGTTGTGTAGGGTCTTTGGAGAAAATAAGGATGTCGTCGAGATAAACGGTAACAAAACGATTTAGAAAATCACCCAGAACAGAATTAACTAAAGATTGGAAAACGGCTGGGGCGTTAGTCCGAATGGCATGACTAGGTATTCATAGTGTCCAATAGGAGTTTTGAATGCGGTCTTCCACTCATCTCCCTCACGGATTCTCACTAGATGATAGGCGTTTCTTAAGTCCAAACGGCTAAAAATGGATGCGTCTTGTATGGGTTCAAACGTGGATGAAAGAAGTGGAAGTGGGCATTTATTGCGAACAGTGATTTGGTTTAACCCTCTGTAATCAATACAAGGTCTGAGGGGTCCCTCCTTTTTTTGGGACAAAAAAAGAAACCTGCACCCAATGGAGACAAAGAGGGGCGAATGATACCTGCAGCCAGGCATTCATGTATGTATTTCTCCATGCTCTCACGCTCGGGCTTGGAGAGGTTATACAGTCGGCTTGAAGGTAATGGGGCCCCCGGCAGGAGATCTATGGTACAGTCAAAAGGCCTGTGTGGAGGCAGAGAAGAGGCACGGTCTTTGCTGAATACCTGGCAGAGGTCATGATAGACGTGGGGAACTGTTGTAAGATCAATCTCCTCTGGGGGCGTCAGTGGTGAAGGTGGACCAACAGGTAGAGCTGAACGAAGACAACTCTGAGAGCAGTCAGGACTCCAACCCAGTATCTTATTTCTTTTCCAGTCCATTGATGGGTTATGTTGCAGCAGCCAGGAGTGACCCAGAACCACTGGCGACTGAGGAGAGGGGAACACAAAGAAACTGATCATCTCCGAGTGGTTACCTGACACCATGAGCCGTGAAGGGATGGTTTGGCTGGTAATGGTGGTGAGAGACTTGTTGTCCAAAGATGAAACAGAGAGGGGAGTAGGAAGTCTGGTGGTGGGAATCTTCCACCTTTCCACGACTCTTTCATCCAAGAGGGATTGCTCGCATCCAGAGTCCAAAAGTGCTTCGAGCGTCACAGGTCTAGAATCAATAGACAACAAACATGAGAAAAAACGCCGGGAACCAGAATTTGAATCTCCACCCACCAGTAGTCCCAGCTTTACTGGCGGGCTCCCCCTTTTGGCAATTTAGGGCAGTTACTCACGAAATGTCCTGCCGTTCTATAGTACATACAAAGCCTTTGTTTCTGGCGGTGCTCTCTCTCTTCCTGTGTTAGACGGGTTCTTCCCATCTGCATGGGTTCGTCAGTAACAGGTTGTGGGTGAGGAGGAGGAACTCGGTCTTGCTCATGGGCTGCGGCTGCTACTGGTAAGGGGGCGTGTCTGCTGAGCTCCCATTGACGCTTATCAATGGAGATGGTAAGTCTTATAAGTTCCTCCAGGGAACTTGGTTCTGGACACAAGGCTAGCTGGTCCCTCACCTTGTTGCTCAGGGAGTTAGTAAACACGCCTATAAGAGTGTCCTCATTCCAGTTGGTCCTTGCTGCGAGAATACGGAAATCCACAGCCAGGTCCGCCACAGATCTTTTCCCCTGGGTGAGAGCCAAGAGCTTCTTCCAGATATCTGAAAGTGACTCATGTCCACCAAATGAAAGCTTAAAATCCGAAAGAAACACATCATAAGGTCCTTGCAAAAAAGAGTCATGACTTTTAGCTTCAGCCCACTTAAGCGCTCGTCCTCTTAACAGTCCCACTATATACGAGATCTTGGCCGAATCAGATACAAAAGCCGAAGGACAGCGTTCAAACTCTAGTTTACATTGCAGCAGGAAGCTGTTACTGTCATCAAACTCACCATGAAAAGTTTCTGTCTGAGGTGAGGGTGCCACACGAAAATGGTTTCTCTCCCATGGAGAGGCTTGCTCCTGTCTAGCAGGATTTTCAGATAGGGCGGCAGCTGACGGTGGTACTGATGGCTGTGGATTCTGATTTGTTTGGGAGAGGGTTTCATGTATTTGACGAATGAGGGTTTCCAGTTGTTGATATCACTGGTTAGCTGCGGAGAGTTGTTCCATTACCAGGGGTAGGTTCTGTTCCTGTTGGCTTAAACGTTGTGACAAATTAGATAATGCTGATTCTGCTGGGTTCGAATGTTGGCCGGATGATTCTGTCATAGTCTGAGGTATTTGCTTAACCCAAGACAAGCAGAATCAGAGATCGGAGACAGGTTTGATAGTAAAAGGTAAAATGATATTTATTTAATAGGAAAACTAAGGGCGCACTGAAGTCCAGTGGATATCCAAATCAGGAAGCGGTGTCTACAGGAAAACAGAGGTGAGTATGGGTCTTGTAGTTCCGGGAGATTTTATTTGTAGGCGGACTTACTATGCGGAAGAAGAGTTGTTGTTTGGAGGGGGAGTGAGCCGGGGTGATATCCAAGATGGGGAAGCAGTCCAAGATGAAGGTGAGTCGGAGAGTGAGCGAGGATATTGATCCGGAGAGGGAGCGTGAGCGAGGTGGAGAGCGGGTCGGCAGGCGGAGGAGACAAACAGGATCGAACCAGAGATTTCCTTCCAGGAGCAGAGAGAGTTATCCAAGAATCCAGGAACCCGAGGTGAGTATCAAAACATCACTTGAGCGAATAATCCAGAGTCAAAAATGCAAAACTGTAAGAGCAAACAGAGTAAAAACTCGGGAGGGCAAGCAACTACCAGTTAACGGCAATCATCCGGCGTCGTAGTCTGGTCTTCCTCCTCCTTATAAAGCCGGCCCGCTGATGAGAAACAGCTGTTGCTCCCTCTCCTGCAATCAAAGCTCAAAGGTGGTGAATGATGAGACGAGTACTCACCCCGGCTCATGACAAAGATGACCTCTCAGCAATCTTCACCGCAGTGGGAGTAATGAGGAGTACTTCGAATGGACCTCTGGCTGCCCCATCTGTTTCGCTTCAGCACCTTCATCAGAACCCAAATTCCTGGTTTCACGACCTGTGGTGAAAAAGCACAAGAAAATTCTGGGAGATCACTGTTGATTTGGAATTGTTTTCAGCAACAATCATCTAATATTTCAGGTAATTCCATCCAGGCAGTGTAATAATGCGAGGAAATTGTTATCAGCCTCCCCTCCTCTTGAGGCATGAGGCAACTCAGGGCTCACCAGAAAAAAAAACATAAACAAAAGGGTCCGATACTGGCAAGCATTGCGCCAACCCGATGTTAAAAGTGGACCTCACATACACGTGAAAAACACCCATCCCAAGGAACTTGCAATTACTAGTTCACGTCAGCAAGGGGCAGAGTCGTTCAACACAGTGTGCATAAAACAACAAAACAAACCAAAACAAACTAAACAACTAACAAAAAGCCATAATCTGTGATTTAAATCACCTAGGGGTAACAGGAGAAATGGTAGAAAAAAAACTGATTGCAAAATTGTAATCCAATGAAATCAAAAAGAATCAACCCGTCAGGGAAAAACAGTGAGCTTGTCAACACCCCCAAGCTCATATCAATAATTTATTATTTTATCATAGACTCTATGTCTTTGCTCTCATTATTCCAGAAACTTTCACCTCTAGTGACTTCTTAATTTAATCTCATTGCTTCTAACACTGGAATTAACTAACAACAAAACCAGTCCTAATTATAAAAATAATATTTCAACTTCACATAGATTCAGCAGGGTAAGGTTACTTCAGAGAACATCAACAATGTACAATGTCACTCAAAAATTCTACTCAATGTGTATAATTTGTCAACAGGAGATAAATACCGCTAAATTAAAGCTCCATTAGTGAAATCGGACAGCAGAAGTATCTAAGGAAAATAAAACGGTACGTTAAATAGAACAACAGATTTATCCAAGGAAAATAAAACTCATCTATCACATAGAGACAGTGACCGATCAAAAATAAAACAACTGATGGTGTTCTTAGATACACACAACCATAAAGGTGTTTGAAAAGAAGGTAACTGTTTCAGGAAGGGAAAAGACGTTCTAATCAAAAGAAAAGAACAAACCAAGAAATAATTCAGAATTTACAAAAGTGTACTTTGTATAAAATGGTTATACTCAGCAGGCATACGGCCGACCTTCCGTTGAAATATAGTTGAAATATGGTTGAAATTATGACGGTTGTAATCTCAATGGTGAAACAACGGTAAAACAACACTGAATGCCCAACAATTACATTTATGTCAGTGTATCATTGAACGTCAACGTTGGAATATGGTTGGATTATAAACTATAGTGATTGTTTCAACATTAAAACAACAGTTGTACATGACTGAGCAAAGAAAAGATAATTGGCTCGGAACACACTTTGAAAGCCAACTGAGCCGACCTATAAGTGAAAGTGCAGAAAATGATACTTTCCGATCTAGGTTGGTTTAGTGGTGATTTCTTGGCCACTGGCCCCACCCACCAGTTCCCCACGACCGAGATGCACTTCTGAGTATATAGCGCTAGGTGGCAGTCTGCATGTTTTTTACGTTAGTCTGCAGAGGAAGAAGAAGAAAACTAAAACGAAGAAGAGCTGCATGAAGGATAAAAGGAGCAGGGGACGGAGTCGAAGCAGAACACTGAGAAGAAGCAGGACCAGAGGTGTGTGTGGCTACAACGTTTGAAGGTCATTTAAGTTTTTAATTTTCTCAAAAACCAACTGTGAACCTTATTTATGACTTTAAACTACGGAGCCGCATAACATTACAGCTATTCGGGGAAACAAATAACCGAAACTGATTTCAAATTGGACGAAAAAGGCTAAACGAGCAGGAATCCAGGTGAGATTAAGGCTTCTTTTGAAGCATACAGTAGTAAACATCGATCATTCAGCTCCTTGTTCTTTGTTTGGCAACCTGAGAGCCACTTCCGCATTCCCGCCATGTCGCGATGCAGCAGGGTTTCTCCGTCCATGTTTCCTAGGTCTGTTTTTTCTCATTCTTCAGATGTTTCTCCTTCTGTTACCTCCATGAGTGATTTTTGCAAACATAATCCTGCTAACTCGTGTCCACTAACTCCAGCTGTTTCTGCAGTTTCTGATTCCTCCACCTCACTCAGCATGGCTCTATTAAACACCCACTCCAATAACATTAAGTCCTTCCTGTTTAATGATCTAATTCTCTCTAAAAACCTGGATTTTCTGTTTTTGACTGAAGTTTGGCAGCAAACATCTCATTATTCTGGTGTGATTGAACTCTGCCCGAGTGTATTCTTTCATAGCCTGTCACAGGGTTCTGGTCGAAGTTGGCCTGTGTACAACAAATAGTAGCAATCAAAGAAGATTTTGGTGATGCAGAGTGTTCCAAAGCCACTGAGACTGAAGACATGTGTGACCTGGATGGCCACAGCAGCAGTGAAAGTTGTTTAACAGAAACAGACACCTTACCAGTAGAATCCTGTGATTTAAGGAATTATTTGGCTAAGTGGGCTGCTCGCAATAAGGCAACACGAGCATCTGCTGATGAGCTCCTTGTTGTCTTACGAAAACACGGACATTCGCTGCCTATAGATGCAAGAACACTATTACAAACTCCTCACCAAATCAATGCAAAGAAATTATGTGGTGGCCATTATCTGTATTTTGGTCTAGAACCAGGAATTCTGAAAATATGTTCACAGTTTCCAGATGAATTCCTTAGAGACGGTTGTGATGATTTCCCTCCTCTTCCCTGTGTACCCAACAAGTTAAATATTGTACAGTCTGGTAAGTGATCATGTTAAACATTTTATTTTTGTTACTGTACGGCATATTTAAATATGGTTCATGAAAGTTTGGTAGAGCTTTGCTTACTTTGTCTTTCCTATAGACAAAATTGGATTAGATGAAAGATACGAACAAAGCCAAAGAGAGTCCCTCTCTGGCAGCCAACAGAAAACTCCCAGCCACTCCTGCTCTCAAAGCCAACGACCATTAAGCCCCAGCCGCCTCCTCTCTCGAAGTCAACGACCATTAAGCCCCAGCCGCACTCGCTCTCGAAGCCGACAACCAAACCCCCAGCCGCTCTCGCTCTCGAAGCCGACGACAAAGCCCCAGATGCTCCTGTTCTTGAAGCTGACGACCAAGACCCAGCTCTCCTGTTCTGAAAGCAGATGACAAAGCCCCAACCACTCCTGAAGCCAACAACAATCAACTCCAAGCCTCTCCCGCCATCGAAGCCTACATCCAAGCCCCAGCCACTTCCTTTCTCACAGCCAACAACCAAGCCCCAGCCACTTCCTTTCTCACAGCCAACAACCAAGCCCCAGCCACTCCAGCTCTCGCAGTTCTTCTAACTCCTCCAACTTCCCTTTGTCAGAAGAAAGTAAGTTTAATTTTACAAGTCTTCATTTTAATGATTCTAATGAGGGATGGCCATTCCAAGCTACAATATTATTAGATAACAGGTGTGCTCCTTCCCCTGTTACCTAGAATTCCAGAAGAAAGTGCTTCAGCTGCTCATTGAAATGCTTGATTCTGGAAGAACAGATCTCGGAATGACACATGGCACAGCAGTGCAATTCAAGCCCGCAGACACCCAGATGGATTTCAGGGAACTGGAGAGTCGTCTCAAAAACGAGCAAGGGAGAGCAGCCTTTGTAAGCTTCAACTGAGACAGGTTTTTGCATGCTGCCCTAAGTGTTTATGATGTGTTCAGCTTTCACATTTCAAAAGACTGGGGGGCATTGATGCTGTGGACATGGTAAAAAAAATCCACGACAGCATATGCATCTAAATTCATGTGCTTTACATAAAGTACATTTTCGTAATGGCTAAATATTTGTAGCCCTTGCAGAGCTATCAGGTAATTGTCTAACTAAAATGTTACACTGTCCATTTTTGTTTACCAGGAAACTGACAAATTCAATGATGGCACAAATTAACCTGAAGGGGAGGTGTGGGAAAATAGCCTTTTCTGAGTGTCTTTGCTCTTCCTGATCATCTGTGGTAAGTGTATAACTGTTACTGAAAACGGGAGCAGAAGTACAACATTTTGTGATAATTCAAGAAATTTTACACATTGCGTTTCCTCAAGAATTTGGTTCTGATCAGTGATTGATTACCCTCTTTGCATGCCCCATTTATTTTGGTGTGGAGTGAATAACAATTGCTGTTGGAAGGAATTTTCACATGCTGATGAACAGCAGACATGATGATGGTCTCTGTTGTTTCCTCTGTAGATGCTGTTGCCACCACACACCAGATGACCCAGACACAAGTAATGGAGATTGTGTCTAAATATTTGAAATATGCACCAGAGAGTGTGGGTGGTGGTGGCCAAAAAAAAATACCTCCCTCCCTTGAGTGACTAGTTCTGTTTTTATTTTAAAAAAAAAACATTTTTTTACTTTTTTTTTTATTTTTACTTTTTTGATTGCTATTTCAATTGAATAACAATTGTTATTCCTTGTTGTTATAAATAAACAGTTTGTTTTCTTTTAATTGACTATTTCTTTATTTGCCTGATGGCATTTATTCTGTGTCAATCAATATTGCACACAGCTATGATGGATAAAGTAAATCATATGAATGTGTAAAAATGTAGAAGTCAGTTGGGTATGGTGGTAAGTGTTGAAATTGTGTTGGAAAATCAACATTAATTAAACAATGAAAAGGCCTTGTGATATCAACATTGAATCAATGCTGGATTTGGTTTTGATTTTGAAAGGTGAATCAACATTGATATCCCGATGTTGGAACATCGGTCTTCTTTAAAACAAAGATGTTGTTCTTCGCCCCGGAGTCCTGGTCATCAAACTCCCATCCCAGGTGGTCTTCTTGAAGGATGCAAACAGACGATTGCAGCTTCTGCTTTTTCTCTTCATCCAGTCGACCACCTCCAAGCCCTTGTTCCCCGCAATTTTTTCCATGGATTAAAAGTGTGCTGCGTATCTTTGTCTTGCTTTAGTGAAGTGTTTCGTATATGTTCACAATGTCTGACGACTTCTGTGAGATGTTCTTTGATCTGCTTCATGGCTGTCTATAGATATCTTTATGTGGGTGGGGTAGACAAATAGGAAGTGGCATACTGACCTTTCTGTTGCTTTCAACGCACAGTTAAAAACATTGTGCATGTCTCCATCACACTCCACAGGCCTTCCTCGGAGCCCTTGCATCGATTCATTTTGGCATTGCGTCTCTTTATTACCAAACTAATGGAGAAGTATAAACCAGGCTTTACACCCCAACTGACTCAGCAGCATTGAGGCGGATTGAAAGTGTTGAGTCAGGGACGAAATTTTGATTTCAGAAGTGGGGGGGACACAGCAGGCTTGTGCGGATTTGGGGTGGGGGGTGTTATGTAAAGACCCCTTGACACGTCACGTGCCCATCTCAATAATTTTTCCATCCTCTCTCTCTATATATATATATATATATCAAAGTTAAAAAATGTACAACTCTATTATTATTTTTATTTATTATCATTATTGAAGTGCAGTTTTGGCTGTTGACAATGGATAGGCCATTGTATTTATTGTTTTGGGTCTTTTTTATTGTTTTTGGTGCAACATTTTCTAACAGGGAGTGAGATTCCTTTTTTATTCAATTTTTGTTTGTTATTTTTATTCATTTAGAAGTTCTGGTTCTGGACATTTCAATGTTAAATGAAGGTTTATTTGTTGCATTTTAAAGGGTGTACTTGCATTATTATGATATATTAACATTATATTAGTGGTTATTTTGGTCTAGATAATGTTGACAATATCGTTTATCATCAACAATTTGTTGGACAAAATATCGTCCAGCAAAATTTGTTACATTCCCAGGCCTAGTCAAAAGTATAAAAATTATTTATACATAAACGGTCCCTCCTGAGATCTGGCCGTTTGTTCATTTGCTGTGTTAGAGGACATGCTGAACTAATGTTTTACACATGATCATCACCCTAACATTTGAGTGTATAAAAACATATTAAATATGTTTTTTCCCTTAAAAGTGTTTAAACAGTTGTTGCATTTCAACACACAAAAAATAAATGGAAAAAATAAGATAAATCTAATGAAAAGTGTACATCTTTGACATTAAGCTTAAAAAAATCTGTTGACGATGATGATACTGTTCATTTTTCAGAGCTTTTTAATGTGAACATATACATTGCAATAGATAAGTTTACAATAAAGTTAAATGATAAAAGTTTTGAAGTTACACTTCTACTACTACTAGTAATAATAATTATGATGATAATAGTAATAAAAAAATAATTATTATAATAATACGAATAAATTGTGTCTGAGGAGTCAGTTATGTGGAGGAGATGAGTTTGTAAAAGTTAGTTTTGAGTATGTGTGTGAAGGAGGAGGTGAGTCTGAGCTTAATGCAGGGGTGTCACATGTCCAACTTACGTTTAGACTTTGAAAGAAGTCTCTTATATCCACTTTTTGTTTTCTTGACATGCTGCCTCCTGGCTGTGCCTAACTACCAAAGACTCACAAATGAACACTTATTCAAATGTTATGTAATGAAAGCTGAGCTGAGCTCTGATAGTACACAGCGTCTAGTTGACGATGTGACTCAGTACCGGTGTTCCCTAGCGGCTCCAAACTAGCAAAACAACGTGAGCACGTTCGGACTTTTTCCAACTTGAGTGACAGCAGCAACAGCCAATAATACGTTAGCAAGTATCAGCAGAGCCAATAGATTAGCTTTTGGGCGGGTCTAATTGTAAACCGGTTTCCGTTTCGGTCCTAGTGCTCAACCAAATCCATTTAATGGAGCGTTTTTGGACGGAAAAAAGTGCAGGGGACCAAAACTGCCTTTTGAAAAAGTGGGGGGGACATGTCCCACCCGTCCCCCCCCAAAATTACGTCCCAGTGTTGAGTTGCCACTTTTCATGTGAGAAGAAATTCCAGTAATGGTTTGTAGTCTGAGGCCTTCAGAGTTGTCCTGTCTGTGTTGCCTTCAACACATCTTTTAATCTTGTAAATCCCTGGGACTTATTTTGTGAGATCTGATCAAAAAAGACCTAAAATGTTGTTGTTTTTATAGTGCAGTACCGCTGTTTACTGAGTTAGAGGTCAAGCGTACTGTCTGTTAAAGGGAAATGAAACGCTCATTGTTCCTGTATCGGCTTCTTTAGAGTCAGAACACTTTTTCAAGTACAAGTACAAACATGTGATGTTGGCCCGATACTTGGTGATGGTAAAGGGTAAGAATTCTGTGTTAACACAGCCCCTTTAAGGATTCTACAACTCCCCAAAGTACCTTACAACACAGTCCCTCATCTACACACATTCACACACACACACACACACACTCACTGAGCTACATTGTAGCCACAGCTGCCCTGGGGCTCACTGACAGAAGCAAGGCTGTCGTCATACACTAGTGCCACCAGTCTCTCAGAACATCACTAGCAGGAAAGGCAGATGATGTGTCTAGCCCAAGGATATGACTGCAACAGACTGTGCAGGGCTTCAACGGGGTGGGCATTTAAATCCTCTGCCACTTTTGCCCTTCAAAGAAAACATTGGTATCTGAACATCCCTGATAATAATTATTTTTTGGGGTTGCTTGGAACAAATACACAAAACATGTATTCAATAAAACAAGACAAATAGAGGAATAATATTTGACTCTTAATGGAGCAAAATTATTGATTAAATCCTTAGATTGGGCTCAGGCTCAAGGCATTAAAGCAAAGTCCCAGTCTTCTAAAACAGGATTTAAACATTTATATGTTTACAAAATGGTGATTGTAGCAAAGTGTGACTCTTGAAAAGAGATTCAGAACTAACCTTGTTTTCAGTACCAAGAATATAAACACCTTAACAAACCTCACCTGCAGGTAGAACAAGGTTTCTGCTGTCATATTTCTGTTTGCTGAAGACATCAGAGATCAGTCTGAACAGTTTACAAATTGTGTGTGTGGAAATGCACAAGTGATAACCCATCAGCGTGCACAGATTGTATTGTCATGTGCTGGAATTATGAATTCATTTACACATTTATAGTAAAACCTGCCGGTTCATATTTATTCATGCTTTGATTCCATGCTGACTTGATATGAGTTCTGCCCTTAAAGGATTTCTGCACTTCTGCACTTACAGCTGACACCAACCTCACACAGAATCTTAAGAAATGTACGCAGACAGGGAACAACATGTCCTGTCTCTGTCACTGCAACGTCACGTCTGCCACAACGATGTGCAGCTTAACCCATCTTCTGCTAGAAAACACTATCTGTTGGACAAAATGGAGAAAAATAAATAAATGATCTGAGGCAAGGTTTTCAAATTGAACTTGAAACTGAAATTGAAGAATGATGTTTGGAGACTTTGTCAGCTTTTCATTGCTGGAAAATAATCCATGTCTCTAAATTTTTTCTGACTTCTCCTAAAATGTTCAGTAAATAGTATTAAAGTGAGCCTATATAAAAGGACTAATGTATTAATTACTCCTGATGTAAAGAATGACAAGGAAGCATATATGTGTGTGTGTGTGCGTGTGTGCGTGTGTGTGTGTGTGTGTGTGTGTGTGTGTGTGTGTGCGTGCGTGTGTGTGTGCGTGTGTGTGTGCGTGCGTGCGTGCGTGTGTGTGTGTGTGTGTGCGTGCGTGCGTGTGTGTGTGTGTGTGTGTGCGTGCGTGTGTGTGTGCGTGTGTGTGTGTGTGTGTGTGTGTGTGTGTGTGCGTGTGCGCGTGTGTACGCTGATCATAAAGATGACTGACCTAACTACCTTCTCTTCTGGTCTTCTCCCTCCTCCACATGCAGACAAGTCTCAGAGTTTTGTTTTCTTTGATGACGGTAAGTTGTGCTAATTGGATGGAAATGTCAGCATCAGCCCCGTGAGGCTGTAATCAGCGCTTCACTTCACCACCAATCACCATTAATGTGCTGTTTTTGTGCATCTTTGTGCTCAGGACTGGGTTAATCTCTCTAGCCAGCCAAACGGTCACATGGATGTCTATCTGTCCCCTAAGCAGGTCCCATCAGCAAACTTTTTTATCCATTTTTTGTGAACTTTTGAAATAATAAAAGTTAAAGAAAACACCTTTCTCCTCCTCTGGGAGATAAAATTGCGAGCTTCTAGCCAAAGTGTCCCTGTTGACCCCGTCCTGTTCACTCTTGCCCTCTCATCACCACCTGACACCACAGCGTCTGTGTAGTGCATGCTGATTGGCTGTGATGGATTCCTACAGTAAGTGTTTCATCTGTCTCGTCTGTATGAAGCACTTTAATCACCTCCTTCAGAGTGCCCTCATGGCCTCAACGCTCGCAGGAAACCAATCATTATTCTTTGTGTGTGCATGTGTATTTACCAGCAGGTGTAACATGGCTCAGTCCATCTCTCTTACGTTGAAGACCCCTCCAGGAATAAAGAAAAGGGCTGGTGACTTGTCTCTAAATACATTTACAGCACTTGTAAACTTTCTAAGATTCATTTAATTGCCTTCAATGACACACGAACCAAAGAAAAATAATAACATTGAATTAGTTGGTTTAGCTCTTCAATAATTCATATATTGCTTATTTGTGACAGTGACAAATAAGCAAGAGCCTCCTGCAATCTGCCGAAATCCCCCCCCCCCCCCCTCCCCAGCCAATTGGATGGCACTTTTAAATAATTCACCAAGAATCCATGAGGATCAAAGAGGGCTCTCCAGCCTTCCTCCCATTTATTCATGCGTCTGGGCTTATGTGTTTTTTTCTTCTGCTGCATGTGGAAACAGCAGAGTTTGTAGCATAGAAGCTGATGCAACCATGTGTAAATCATTACTTAAGTGACAAGTATCAAACACAATCATTTAAATTAATCTCTCAGGTTGTCTCACCAGCAATCGGACTCAAATACTTCAGCTTTTGCCTTCTCAGTCACATATCAGTACAGCACACATAACTAGGAACATGTCTAGTAAACAATCTTTACATACTAACTAAAGATGCTGTAACAGCAGACTTTGGTGGACGTTGTTGACGAGGGCGCAGGTTACTGTCACTGCACTTTAAAACTCAATAACGTGAGCTGCTGTTTTTAATTCAGTCTTAACAGAATTACTCATTATTTGACTGACAAGCACCAAGCAGGATGGCAATAATTAAAATGCAAAGTTATATAAGTTTCCCGTTTCTCCCTCCTTCATATAAAATGGAATTACAACTGTTGTAAACAACCCTGCTGCAGCTGCTGGACCAAGCACTAACATCAAGCTAATGCTAACGTTAGCTAACTGATACTAAAATAGGCCACGAAGTAAATAGATCCACACTGTCCAAAGACTTTACCCTCCAGTAGTGATGGGTACCTTTAACATTTGAATTGATACGATACCAATTCCCAGTATCTATAAATTGATGCCGGTACTTAACAGTACCTATTTTCGATACTTTTGACTGTTTAATAATTATTTAAATATCTTTTTTATTAAATATATATTATTTTCCCAATATTTATGCATATTGATAAATACCATGATAAAAAATTATTTTATCATCATAGTGTTGTATAAAATTCTTCAATATGAAAACCTTTAACAACAACTGTTTACGCAAAAACAAACCCTGCTCCATGTACTCCTAATCCTCCGAATCCTCTTCTATGCCCTCTGGAATAACTATGATGAGGAAACCATGGATTATAAAATGTCGAAACCACGATACTCAGAGATTAGTAGCCTCCCCTAAGTTCAGCTTCCCTGAACATTGAGACGCAACCCGGGGTCTGTAGAAGAGGTGTCTCAGGTGTGAAGCAGCTCTGAGAAGAGCTGTTGTGTCTGTAATCACCTGCAGCGTTGCAGAAAGGTTTTGACTTAAGGTCAACGGAGTTTGTTTCAAAAGATGCTTCTTTCCCAATTTGGCCGAATCGGGGTCAGCTGAAAACGGAATTACTCAGGAAGTAATTCTTGTTTTATTAAACTACTTTGTTAGGATTTCTGGCCACGTTTGTCAAATCATAAGTTGACACATTTCTGAGTATTTACCAACATCCCTCAGAAAGCCACGCCTTCTTGAAGATACAAAGATGTTTTCAACCTTAATATGTATGTTATTGTAATGTGAATGAGTGTAAACAATGATTACCTTGTTAAATCAAACACACACCGATTTGTGATATAAATTGATCATTGTAAGAACAATATTCATTTCAAATTCATTGATTTAAGCACAGATTATTCAAACATTTAATTTAAACACCTTGTTCATTCATCACATGTGATTACTGTAAGCTTATGAGTTGTAAAAGTCGTGGAGTCTTCCCTTATTCAGAGTGAAGAATGTTGACGTCTGGCATTCATGCAGAGAGTGTAGAACCTTGGGGAAGAATGTTTGTCTGGATGTTTTGTCTTCTGTATGCAAACTGAACAGAACCTTCTGGGTTTGGAAGGCCAAACAGAGAGTGGATTTATTTCAGTAGACGAAAGGTTATTATGTTGATCAATATATAGGTGAAAATTTACCCTTTTGGACGTTACACATCCCAACCCTGCAGGCTCCACAATAAAACCAAGAAAAATGCTAAATTCATATTTTTCTTCTTCTTCTTTTGTCGTCAAACTGAAAAAAAACTGCTAGTCTTTATATATGCTATGGGCACAGGAAACAGCTATTGCTCAAAGCAAGTAGAAACCAAAAACTGTGCACTTTCTGGTCAGCAGAATGTGAATTTGCTCAAGTTTCTTCCTCAAGAACCACTGAAACAAGTTTGAAAGCAATAGCTTAAAGTGTTAAAAAGGCTTTTGTGTTGCTCTAAGAAACACATACCAGTTGCATTGAAGTAGAGCAGACACACACACAAACTTGTAACACCTTTTCAAGCAATCTCTAGATCCAGTGTTTGTGGTAACTGCCAGTGAGCGTCTCCCATCACTGTAGAGGTATTTTGTTCTGCCTTTCTTTACACTATAGCAGTGGTCCACAAATGGCGGCCCGCGAGCCCTCTCTTTGTGGCCCCCAAACCCCGCGCGCACCCCCCACTCCCACCCCCAACGGCCGACCGGGAGGTTTAGGATAGAGGTGAGGAAAATAATCAAATAATCAATGCATAAGATGCGGGCATAAACGTTTTTGCATCATAGAAGAGTACCATAATCAATTATAGTAGAATGTAGTTTAGTTATTTTACGGCGGCACCAGCGTAGCATCCACATCTGTCAGAGCGGTGTTCTCCACATTTACCGGGTAGGAAACTTTGGTCTGCCTTTACGTGGTACTGCAGGGCTGAGCGCTGGAGTTATAACCTGAGACCGAACCCGAACCGAATCAGCCCGATCGGTTCTGTTGGATTTGGGCCGTAAATTATGTTAATTGGGTGGGTTGCCGTGCAGCGCGCTCCGCTCCCTCGATCAGCGACTGAGACAGAGAGAGCGGGAGATTGTCTGCTCACACAAGAGAGAGGATCGGAGGACGGTCCTCCAAACACGCATTATTATTTTCATAATTTCATTATTGTTTCTCCTGGAAGCGCTCAGTCAGACCGAGTGCTGTGATGTCAGGAGGTCCGGTCTAGGGGAGGGAGCGGGGTCAGTGAGGGCGGCTGCAGCGTAACCTGTCTCTTATTTAGGGACACGGACAGGGGCGGTTCTAGACCAAATGTTCCAGGGGGGCTACAGTGGGGCCAGTATTTTTTCATGGGGGCACAAGAAAAAAAATTCATAATAAAAGACAATGAACAAGTAAACTATTATGGCGAATGCAGTAATGGTTTACTTGTGAAAGTAAAACTGGCATGTTTTTATGGTACTCAGATAACAATTCTGAATGCTTCATTGCAACATGAGACTTGAGTAAAAAAAAACAATTCTAGTCAATTATTATAGTTTGTGACTGTATTTGAAGATTATATGAACTGTACATATGAAATAAACATTCAAAAAAATAAAATATCTGCACAATACAGTTTAGTTTTTGTAGTCAGCACACACACACACACACACACACACACACACACACACACACACACACACACACGTAAGCAAAATCACTTCACCAATTGTTTTGATATACTCACGATTTTCTTTAACCTTTTTACTGTGTTCCTTGTCGAGTATATAAGCCAATGTTGTATTAGCTTTCACAGCCCTCTGGTAGTCCCTCCACGCTATCACTGAATCCTTATGCCTTTCAGACTTTGCATGTACTGAAAACCCCCCTCCTCTCTCAGTTGCTTTTTTCCAGTTCCTAAATCCACATTGAAAGTCAAACACACTTCCTGCACTACTTGGTGGGCTAAAATGTCTGCATGCATGACAATAAGCAGAGTCCATTGAAACCGAATATTCGACCCAGGGATTACTTTCTTACCAGCTTGGCTGAAAGCTGCGTCTTCTGTCTCCTTATAATGGCACTGGAAATGTCCTCAAACTAGGCTGAGTAGGTGGGTCAATGTCATGTTGTGGGTAATGTGTTTCACCCAGGACATGAAGAATCACAACAGAAGACGGTAAGTAAAATATGTGTTTTATTTTTAAAACAGGAATAAGCGAACAAAACTAGAACTAAAGGCGCTGCGTCTGAAACACAGGAACGGGACGGGACCGGAATCTATAAAAGATAAGAGGAGAGGTAAGCGAGGCCAGAACCAGAGAACCAGGAGAATCTGACTGAGTGTCTGAGAGTTCTTACGGTCTGAGACCAGGAGTTGTGTGGAGGCGAACTGAGAGAGGCTGGAGCGGTGAGGACGGTTCTGAGCGTGGACAGGCAGGCAGGCGTGGAGAGCGAACCAGAGGATCCTTAAGCGGTGAGACGAGAGACAACTCCAGGCAAGGTAGGTGGTACATGACAGGAAACTGGAACAGGAACGAAAACTC